CAAATTTGACCTACCCCAGTACCTGTGTTGTTGACAGTATAAGACAGCGTCCTTTATCACTTCCCGGAGAATAAATTATCAGCTGGGTTATGGGATGTAGCCCGAAAAGAGATCATAATGAGCCTAACTCTGCATTCAAACGGTAACAACGATGTGAATCCGAACCGAGGAGGCCACTTTAGTATGTCTGACTCCATCGAAACCTTGGGGTACACGGCTTTAAAGGCAATAGCCAGCAAGTTAGCCATTAACCCCATCACTGGATCAGGATGGCAGGATTTAGCAGACAAATTGGGATTTTCATATGGAGAAATTTTGCAGCTGGAGAATATGAACTGCGACGCGGCTACGATGGCGACTAATATGCTAAAAGATTGGTTGAACCGTCGCGGTCGTAGCGCGACTATTGGGGTGTTGGAGCAATACTTGATTCTACTGGGACGCGAGGACGTTTTACAAGAACTTCATAACAGACTCAGAGGTGAGAGGAAATGAATTTAGCAAAATTTTATAATGTTACACGAGTTTACGAATCTTACACGAATTTACGAATCTCTTTTAACGAGGAAGAGAAATGAGTTTGACATGATAATTAGGGTTGCCCTCTTTGATTTATGATTTTAATCATCAATCTGAATAAAAAGGCCTACCTGTTATTTTAATTAATCAGATTGATAATGTTTATTCTATTAGTTTTTTTTCTAGTAGGTGTTTACTTTATTGACAATAAATACTTTTGTCACTTACAACAGCGTTTGGAATGAGGAACTAGACAGAACTTGCTGATCTTTCAAAAATTTTGAGAAGGGGTCCACGTGATATTTTAATATAATTATATATATCATGAATATTTTCTTTCATGTACTGCACGTGAAGGAAAAATGTTTTATTTTTTAAATTGCTTATGGGTAGCAACTGGAAAAAAGCAAACATTGTGAGATTATGAAATAATGCCGAACTGATAAATACACTTCTTGTACAACATCAGAACACTAACTGTCAGTTAAAAAAGAAGGGGTCTCCCCTCCCCCCCTTTTTTTTCCTGGTGAAACTTAAGAATGTTTTGCAATTAAATCAGGAGCATTTACTCTTTATTTATTGACTCAAATCTGACTTTTTCCATTGTAAAGAACATTTTTGTGTTGGGGCTAATTCCACTTTTTTAAAACCAGGGAATTCAGAGCCCAACTTGCCCTACAATGTCTCATATCCTGTTATGAACATCATAAAACTAGGCTGTAATGTTAGTGGTTATAAGCATGCCCCATTCATATAGATATAATTATGTGGTATTTATTTCCTTGTATAAAGTATACCAGTCATCATTGTTTGAATAGAAGGACAAGAAGATGAGTTATATGGGCCTTTCAAGTGTGGTCAGTGATATATGACCAGAGCTTTAATGTGCCCACATCAATATTTAGTTTGAATATTTTTAGATATTACTAAATGGGCTCTGACTTCATAACTGGCTTTACTTGTTAATATTTTTATTAAGTTACAATAGTTTGTAATAAAAAGGTTCTTAGTTAAATTTGGCTTAAAGTAAATGGCTGGGCATCAGTGTAATTTCATATGACCCAGACTGTTGTGAAGGACCATATATACTGATATCCTATTCTTTGTTGCTCATAATGTAATCAGGAATTTCCCATTATGTTCTTCAAATTCTTGAGGAATGATTTATGTATAGTGATTGTGGTTAAGGGATGGGACAGTATTGATACTGATAGTGGTCTCTCATGTTTTTAAGCCAGCATTAAAATGTCTTGCTTTGTATCATACTTTTTGTGTGTTTTTAATTTGTTTCAATTAATGGATATAATCTTTTGATACGTGTTAATTTTAAATAGCTATTAAGTTACAATAAGAAATCTACTTGTAGTAGATTAAGCAGTCTATGAATTTTGAACTGTGACAGTATTTTCTTTATTTATATTATGGATATTTCAATTTACATGTACCTAGGCAACATCACTAGGCATCCTGTAATGCTATGTGATGTTTTGGTTTTTTGCTACTATAATATACTTGTAGATATACTATAATAACATACAGCATGTTGTCAGTTTGCAAAATGTATTACTTTAATGATTTTGATACATTTAATAATTTTCATTTCAAAGGTGGTTTCATCTAAATTGTTACAAATATATCATTTTTTGTATCTGATATGGCTCTATGCTACTTTTATATTCAGCATTTAGCTACATATTTAACCTGTGATATGAATCACCAGTTTTTATTTCTTATATTAAATAATTTCTCATAAGTTTTTTTTTATCTGTAGCTCCATTCAACTTGTTGATCAAACTTGTGTGGGAGGGTAAACCTGACCTCAATCTGCGAGCAGAGGCTACCAGTGAGATGAGCCTGGTGGAGGCAGTGCGGGACATGTTGAAGACGCTTGGTCTCTCTTATGAACAAGTGGAATTTAATGGAAATTGGGAGAGTAAGGCGAGAGAATTTGTGGTGAGTGTCATAGAGGGATATACCATAATTATGATAATTTACTGTCAAACAAAGAGAGTGAGAGCTATAGGAAGCAAAATATTAAGTTGATTTTTTTCTAGAGACTTCAAAAATCGTCTACTAATTGCCACGTAATACCTTATCCCAAACCATTAAAAAAATTACAACCTATTTAATAGTACGCTCTTAGGTTTTTGAGTTCTAATTTTCAACATATGAGCCTGTACATGGCTCTTATGTAGGTGGGACTTGTGAATTTCACTTGTAATAATAGAAATTTTTAACTCAAAGTGTTTTTTAAGTCCAATACAGTTCTTGCTTAATTCTCTCACATACTTTAAGTATTTATCTGAACATTTGTTTCACTCCACAGGGTAGAGAACTTGTCCTAAAAGTAGTGGGGGACCCTCTTGGTACATCAATGTTACCTAAACAGTCTTCACAGGATTCAGGCCATGACTCTCAGGGTGGAGAGTCCCCTCAGCAATCTCCACGTGAAGATATAGAGCAGGTGAGTCAAGGTACAGGGTCACAACTTGATGCTCAGGGTGCCGTGGTGCCTGGGGAAACACAGGGCGCAGGGAGACCATTTGGTTCAGCTCTGACGATGAATCAAGGGGTTGAAGAAACTCAGGACTCTAGTTTCTTGCCAGGCACAAAAAATGTTGATTTGGGACTAAATGGTGTGATGAATCTCGGAACAATGGAAGGGGGCACTTCATATAAGTCTCCATTACAAGTGAGCAGTAGCACAAACACCCAGCAGTTACAGGGTGCAAGTTTGGATACCGTCTATGGTACAAGTAACAATATATCTCCCACTTCTATGTTCACTCTGACTGCCAGTGTCAACAACAGTGCTGTTCATGACACACGGCATGTAACGGGGAAAATGAGTGAAAGTTTTCAGGGTGTTGAACCCATGGAACTGGACATTACGACTCCAAAGACCGAGCAGACATTATTGTTTCAGAGTGAGATGCAGGACAGGGGTGCTCTTGGTCAAGGGGATCCTGTGTCTGGGGATGGTGAGATTACACCAACAGAGAAAAGCAGAAGTCGCAGTAGCAGTGTTCAAGTTGAAAGTTTCAGTGAAATATTTCGTGATCAAAGACTGCGAAGTAACAGCGTCCCAGAGATTGAACCAATCAGAATGAATATTCCAGTAGATGCTTTAAACATTCCTCCTTGCAGCAGAACAGATACATCTTTCAACAATAAATCATCTGTTTCTTCCTTAAACAATGTATCAAACTCTTTAAATAATGTAGAGATGACCACTTCAGTCAATGTTTTTCCTGCCACGGAGAAAGTGTCATGGAGTTTAGATGAAGAGATGGAGGATGTCCAGACCTTGGTTAAACAAGGCATCAAAGATCAGCACAACTGTCAATATTGTAAACCATTTGCACAGCATTATAAATCCAAAACTGGGCTGTTCAAGTCTACTCAACAAAGTAGCAGATTCAGGAGCAACAGCAGCAGCGTCTCGTTTGACAACGACACCATTTACGAAAAATCTGACATTATGCACTCACTAAGTACGCCTGGGTTGAAAGCTGATGGTCGTGGATCACCTGATGGCAAAGACAAGAGCACCTGCTTAAAAACCTGCCTATGCTATCCAGGCTCAAATTCAGCACATTCATCTCCAGATCCAGAGGGGAGGGTTCCTTCTTTACCAGCAAGGAGGAAAAGTCCACCTCTGCAGGATAGAGCTTCTGCTGCTCCTTTACCAGTGAAGCAACGGAGCCAGCCTTATGTACCAGAGAGGAAAAGGAGCCCTCCATTCCTGGAGAAAAAAAGGAGTGCCCCTTTGATGGAAACAGAATTTAGTCCTCCTCTGACTGAGAGAAAAATGACTTCTCCCAGGAGTGAGCAGTGCATAGCTGGCATGACTGGTGCACATAGGGGAGTAATGAGGACGGACAGTAGACCAAGTGACTCGGAGTCCAACATCATGGCACACATGGATCTGGACAATCAGAGTGTTAATTCGGAAATGTTGGAGGATCCGAGTCCGGAGTCATTGTACATCACTATCCTGCCTGGATGGCACCCTCTGCTGGAGAATAATGGGAAAAAGGTGAGATGATTTTATAATATTAAAATTTTACTACACTAGGTAATATTGTTAAAATTGAATGAAATTTTTGGTCATTGGACAGCATGTTAGATAGTTTTGTACCTTTGGTAATTTTATATCAAATACTTGATAAAGAAATACACACAAGCTAAGACAAAGTGAAATGTAGCTGAGTCAGACAATTGTTTTTTTACCCTTTTGAAATGTGTGATTATGGTTATTGCATAGTATTCTTATTTTTTCTTTTTTTTTAGTTTCAATTTTGTGTGTTTTTTTTTTTTTTTTTTTAAGCTAAAGAAATGATTGATTGATATGATATGATTGAAAACGAAATGCAATTATTTTGCCAGGTGTTTGCTGTTATGAAGCCATATTTGGGAAAAGATGGCTACTACATCATTCGGTCTCTTGATCATGGAAAGAAAGGAGTCACAGTGACGTAAGTAAAAAACACTTTTATGACATAATATTTCCATTGATATTCAGGTTCGCTTTTCTGTCTTTCTCTCTCGCTCCTTTTTCAGATGTTTCAAATGCATGCATAGGATTAAATTGTTACTTTTAGTACTTTGAAATTATTTAAAATTTGAAAGTTTAAAAACAGATTCAAATTGTAGACTAAGATATTGATAGGCACATGCATTCGGGTTTTGATTTATCTGGGGAGTTGAGTGTCATAAAAATCACCTCTGTCAAAAACTGATTGTTAAGAGCCTAAGAGCATGAGGAAATAAATGAGAAACCAGGCACATTAGTTACAGATGCTATCATCTTGGGATTTTCCTTATCTGCATTTAACAAGTCTTTAAATAATGCATAATTTGTACTATTTTAGTAGAGATGTAGGTTGCTAGTAATTGCTTAGTGTATTTGGACATAGTTGGCCGAATAACATTTTCCAAACATTCCAGCGAAGAATTTCTTCAGCTGTGTACTTTATTCCTTCATAGTTACAGTTGATAAAATTTTCAAGCAACAGTTAAAAAATAGTAGTACCAATCCAGTTCAATATTTTACAATTTTTTTCAACTTCTGAATAATTTATGAATAAAGCACGTATGGGTAACTGTACATCCTAACTGGCATGCATGTTTGTAGTGTGTAATGGCTTCAACGTTAAGTTAATTAATTTATTATGCAGGTATAGGTTATGTGATATTATTGTTGACAATTTCTTTAACAGGCACCAGGGACAACTGAAACACTTCAAAATCCACATGACAGAGGAAAGGGGTACGCTGTTCTTCTATTTCTACCGGGATGGTTTCCAAGCCACCTCTATTCAGGACCTCATCAAGTACTATCACACCCATGACCTAAGTGCGCAGATGACACCCTCCCACCCTGAAGGTGGCGCCACAGATGGCCATGTGGCTTCACTGGCCACGTTCAGTGATGACTCTGCTGGAGCATCGTCATTATGTGTAGAGGTTTCCATGGCGATGGACTCCCAGTCTGCATCAGCGTCCCAGCCAGTGAGGTACGAAGGGAGTAAACATATCAGGCTGCGAGCACCAGTGGCTCCAGTGCCCATCACAATTAATGATTCTGACATTATGGCTAAGATCTGATTTTCAGATCTAAAAAATATTTGATTAAGTCTGAACATATATATTGCTCATTGAAAAGAGATTTTGATTTTGTTGTATACTCAGTTAACTGAGACCATATGCTTGCCTATCAATCTAAAAATTTTAAAAGATTTTGATAATTTTAACAATCATACAATAGTGGGATTCAAGTGAACTTACCTTACTGTAATAGAGAAAGTGTCAAGATTCACCTACCACTCACTGCGTTTTGTATCCTTGTATATGGGTATATTTATAACACATGTACAGAGATATATTATCATGGTAATTTCATAAAACAACAATACATCGTATAACATTCCATTAAGATAAATGCTTGCAAGGAGATTCATGTCATTTTATATGTTGTTTCTGTACAAAAGTGGTATGTTTCTGTGTATCAATAAGTGTATTTTTCTATATCCAAAAAAAAAAAAAAGAAAAGAGGGTAAAAAAATCCAAGCTTCAGACATAAACCCTGGCTCAGCTAAAATTGTACAATGCATATATATATATATATATATATATATATATATATATATATATATATATATATATATATATATATATATATATCTGCCTAGTGGAGAAATATACAGTACCCCAGTTTGACCTATCAAATAACAGATTTTTTGTCCTGTGACCTGAAATTTTGAATAGGTTTGTGCACATATCCGGTATCCATTGTGTGGTTATTTTCAAGCTTTTCTCTACAGAGTAGCCACTCAAAACATATTTTGCCTTTTCTAACAGCGTAATAGGGCATGGGTTTTTCCCCCGAACTTCAGTTTGTTTTGGTTCCTCCAACAGGAAATTGAAATACTTTTGGCTTGTGTTCTAGGCATAATGGATGGAATTCATTAATGGATTCTTAAAGTATTCTTCGGAAATTTGGTGTTACCTGGGTCAAGATAAAGCCAAGATCAAGGTTGCCTGAGCACTTGAATGAGAAACTCGAGTATACTGTACTTGCCCATATGTATGAAACTAAAATATGATATCACTTTTCTCTTACCCGTTAGGTAGGATATTTTCCTGGTCTATTGATATTGTATGTAATTATTATTATTTTTAAAATAAAAGTTTATCTTTTACAGACAAATTTAAGTCGGACTTCAAATGAGCCATGATGTTATTCAAAAATTAAATCTTAGAGAGCACGATCACAAGTTGATGTCTGCAGGTGTGATATGTTTCAACTGTAGAGTTTTAATTAGGATATTTTTAACATTCACTATGCATAAAATTTTAATGAAATTGTAATTTATAATAAAATTGTGTACAAATAACAGTTGTACAATAACTGAATAAGTGCAACTTTAAAATTAAAAATTAAATCTATTATCTGACACAAAATGCACATTTTTACCTTCTGGGTATTGTTTTGGAATCCAAAAGAAGATTTATAATCAATTTATTGTCAATTTATCAATTATTTATTATCACTGACACAGAGAGTAAATATCAATGAGAATGATGCTTATAATCATCTCCATTCACTTGTTGATATTTATTAAGTTTCTTCACATTTTTGCAGACTTTTTAACATTCCTTGACAAGTGCATCTGTGTTTGTATTATATATATATATATATATATATATATATATATATATATATATATATTTAATTTTCTATCATTCAATGGGACATTTTGACAATATTTTCAGTTTGTTACATAACCGTAACATTCTGATATTTGCTGCAAGTTTTGACTTTAAGAATTGTTGTCAGCTTGTATAACTGAGCTGTAATATATGTTCAGGTGTGAAAAATAGTTTCATTGGATCTCATCTTCGGGCTAGAGGTTTCTACTAAATATCTTTGTTTATTTTCACAATAGTGCAACATTCAGTGTTGAAGAGCCCTATCTGAAAAGCAAGCCTGCTTTAACCAGCAAATGAAAGTTTGGAGATGTTTATACTGTTCATTTTTTTGTATGCAATAACTTCTGCACAACCAAATTCCATTAACAATATAACCTACTGAACTGGCACTAACACCACTATCCTGGTTCTGTTCAAATAAGTTTCTTTTATAATTCACTGATTTTTGGAAGGATCCTGCTTCTAAACAAGACTTTTACTAAGAATTCCTCTTTTTACATCGCACACCTTAGTCTACATCTTTCAGGGGTAAACATGTTTCTTATTTTGTTGAGTATCCTTTACTAGGATATCTGGAATCCTGTCCGGTAACATTAAATGGTTTATGATATGAATTCATATAGTTTGTCATGTCAAGTGTATTATTATACAGTGAAGAGAAAATACTGTGACTTGAACCAATGACAAATTTAGATGCGTTTGAACAATTTGGAATAGAAGTGATGTCATTTCTCCGGTCTGACGTACATCTTTATTTTTGTAACGTGTACAACGTTGATGACAGGAGTGTCAAGTTGGCTCAGAAATGAAACACTGGAGATTAACTGGAGGAGATTACCATTGAACTTTAATATTTTTTATTGTGATATTAATAAAAAAAAGTTGAGGTCTGCAAGGTGATTTAAATTAAAGTTCTTATTGGGCCAAAGTCAACAGTAACTTGAGGATGATGAGAGAATTTATAGCCCCAAAAGTGTTTTTTAGAAAAGTAATTTCAGAGCTAACAATTTTCCTTTTAAAGTCAGGGATATAACTTCAATAGTAATCAAGTGTACTGCTTCAAGAATCTCACACAGTGCATAATTATCTTTAATAATTTATCTCTTATAATGTTTTAATCACTATTTTATCCACTTTTGGCAACCATTTTATATGGTTTGTTATATCATTTTTTCACGCTGTTTCAAGACATTCCAGACTCGATTCATTACAGTATTTATAATCTCATTATTTGTAGTTTGTTTTTTTTTTTTTTGTTGTTGTAAATATGTAAGCCAGTTTATTATTTTAGTGTTATATTGTTGCATGTAACTGCAAATAAAGTATGGAATTAACATTGAGACTCATCTTTTTTATGAAAAACTTTTTCAGTGCTAAGTGAGATCATCCAATTATAAATAATTATTATATAATTCCTTGGTTAGACACATAGAAGTTGTATTTCCTCTTAAATTGGCTGTAGGCTACATTTTTTTATGAATAACTTAAGTACTGTGTTTATTGTAATAAGTTCTATGTGCCTGTGGTGTTGGTACACCAATTCAGACTCAGAATAATGTAAGAGTGCATTCCCATAGATTTAGATTGAGCCATCTAGATCGACCTAACTCCCTGGGGGTTCACGCTAAATTGCTGTCAGCCGAGCTCGCACGGTAGTTAATTACCCCCTTACAGCTTTTAGTAGACAGGACAGACGCTTAAGAAGGCTAAGCTGACAGTAATCTAGTGAGACTCCCCACAGGGATAGATTGATCTAAAATCTGTGGGAATGGGGTTTAAGTCTTTGACACCCAGGAAATATATCAGATACTTGTCACATTCTAACAGCTTGTTAAAAAATCGATTTTGAGGCCCGTTTTATAGCTGTGGGAAATTTTACATTGTTGTTTTATTTAAGAGGGGAATGATACGCACATCAGTTGACTTAAATGGTACCCATTTCACACAAAAGAATTCTCACTGTCCGAGCAAAACAAGGTTACATATAATAGAACAACACAAACTTTTTATTGGTCAATTAAATTCAATAATCAAGCCATGCAGCACATCTTTAATGAAAACCCTAACTGCTACTACTTAAAGCCGATTCGTAACATTTCTCAAAACCTCAGTAAAAGTATGCATCAAGCAAATTTAATTATGATATCTAAAATCAATTATCATAACAATTATTAGTTACTCAGAAATGAAAGCATTTTATATTAACTGTACGTATTGTAAATAAATTTGTTGTCACAACGTGTAATCTGAAAGTTTAACTCCAAGTTTTATTAACTTCAGGTTTAAGACATTTATTAATAGCAACTTCATCAAAATATCAAATATTCATAATTAAAATCATCAGTAAAAATAGCCAAACTACCCCAGCGTGATGATACAATAATATACTAGTATATGAAACAAATTTCAAAAGCTTAAGATTGTTTACACAATTTCAAATAAAAATATTGAAAAATCTTTGTTTAACCAACTCAAGTTGATATTTTTGATTGGTCCACTGGACAACTCAACTCCAGGTGAATGAGGCATTCTAAAACTTCTTTCCGAGGTCACACTTCTGGCAATGAAAATATTACACATTTTCTAAATATTGGCAGATTTTTGTCATTTACTGATTCAGATTTAGATACACTGTGATTTTCTTAAGGATATCAAGAAAGCTATTTAAAGTAATAGACTACTAGATAAGTTATTGAAAATTTCAATTTTTGAAATAATGTTATGTTAAATATGTATTATCCAATCCGGCTCTAATGAGAGTATCTAATTTGTTTTACCCAACATTGTTGATGCAATAATGATATACGTTAGGCTTTTTCAAAATATTAAGCCACACTTTAGGTAATCAAATATGGAACATATGTACATTTTGATATAAATAAGTTTGATAAAATACCGTAATTATATGGGGACCAGCCCCATGTCATCAAATTTTAATAATAATTATATATAATTGTTGAATGAAAAAATAAATAAATAAATAAACAGGCTAGCTTAACGCTTCAGAAGAGAATGTTTTTAGCTGATAAATTTCAATATTTTTTTTCTTTTCTTAAATCTATGAATCATAACTGTAATACTGCAAACTAGCTTGAAGTATGGACAAATCACAAAAATATTCCATACTTAAATTTCACCAAAAAAAAGAAAAAAAGCAGGAATCAGCCGTAAATACCTGTAATACCAGCACAAGGTAAATTACATAAAATTTTGCTTGCTACACAAAAAGCTAAAACTGCAGCTAACTAAGTCTTTATATCAAATTACTTAAGCATAATATACCGTTTAAAGTTTAGCACCTTTTTGGAAGAAATCAAACAAACAAATAAATTGAGAGAAAGTTATAATAGCAATCTCGGCTTCATAAATAGTAACAGTTGAACAGTTTGGATAAAAAAATTACTAGGTTAAGCATAATATACAGTACAGTAAATACAGTGTTCAATGTTTAGCACCCTTTTGAAAAAAAAGTAAATTTACTAAGCAAGAAATGTGTTCATGTGCTCCATTATACTGTAACATCATGACAATTAAAACATTTATAGCAAAAAATCTATTTTTTAATGAAAATTTATTATTCCGTGTGCCCAGAATAATTATGCTATGAAAATATACACATGGTGTGTGTAAAATGAATTAACATGAAACATGCCAAAATGATGTTTGCTACAAAGGACATTCTTGGAATTAGAATATAAATTATTAATTTACCAAATATCTACCACAAAGCATATTTTAGCCATTGCCTGTGGAGATCTCACAACTGCATGACAACACAGGCCAAAACTTACATTAAACTAATGCACAATAACATGTAAACAACGCATCTTTCCATGGGTCAGGCACAGCAAAAACACTGCAGCCATGATACTTGAAAAAAAACTTTCTATTTCCAACAGCACTTCGGCAAACTTCCCCTATTATAATGCATGGCAAGAAGCCAAATGCCACCCTTGCCTTTTGAAGGTGAAAATTTTACTTGTTTATGACATTTAAATTGGCACATTCAACATTCTGAAAGATGACAGTCTAAGCGAGTGAAGCTGACCCTTATGTAAGGCCATCCATAAAACATAGAGTTTATTACAAAGACTATTAGAGATAATAATGCACATTATATCAGACAGCAGTTATTTTAAAATGATATATAGATTATACTTTTAAGTATGATCTTAAAAATATACTGCACCTGCTTTTTTTTTCTTTCCAAAAATAAAGATTAGAGGAATGGTCTTCATTTTTAACAATACAGCAACAAGTTCATTTTTCTTTAATTGATAATTAAATGTTTTGAAAAAAGCATATTGTAAAAATGCAACTGGAATCATTTCATTTATAAAAATCATATGCTCATTGCTTAGGAATGTGACAATGGAATATAACTGCATACAGATGTTTATGTGGTAATATCCCCATTCCCTAAATATTATAGCAATGTTATTATATCTTAACATTTTAATTAATCAATTTATATGATCTTTCCATTGCCAGGCATTTTTCAAACCACTCAAAACATTATCTTCATCACAAACACAAACATGTCACCCTGTTGCATTCACTTTTTCAGATCTTAAACAAATTAGACATTTTCAGTGGCTATAATTATATAACATCAGTTTCTGTGAGTATTGCTGACTTCTTGATAAGGTCTGTTCAACTTCATGAATACAAGACTATCAAAAATTTTGAGATATTAATAGAAAAAATAATTTATATTTCTTTTAAATGTTTCAGTGGCACCTGATAATCAGAAACATCAGTCTTGCAAAACTGTTGCGCATTATCACAATAATTATCAATATTGCTTTTTCACAAGCCTGGGAAATGTAATTCTAAATTACAGTAACTTCTAAAAGCATATCTTAATTTCTTACAGGCTTGTGTGGGCACACTTTCAAGAAGTTTTAGTGGAAATCATCCCCAAGTTGCAAGACCAGCTTGTATTTTTAGGTCCCAGGTGGGCCAATTTAAGAGGGGTATGCAAAAGGCACCCTTGGATTTTTGATCCACTTCGTCTTGTAAACCATATTTGCTCATATATTCACTTTCGTGTAAAATCTCCTGTACACAATGAACTTGCCTGGGAAGAATTCATAAATATATCTAAAATCCAAAATTCACTCTCACTTTGATCTCAATCTGCTTGTTATCTTTACCTTTTGATCTTATTGTTAATCAAGTATTCTGCTGCGGGGAAAAATATGGGGGAAGGATACATTGCTTAATGAATAAAACAAGCAAAAACATGATATCTGTTTCTCCCATTATAATTTCAAGGGCACTGCTTCTCTCATCTGATTTTCTTATTAAAATTTCATGGGTATGTTAGGTCACGCCACCTTCCTCAAGGTCTTGAATGAAAATCTTATTTGTACATCAACAGAAGTAGATGCCACCAACACTGAACAGTAACTCTTATTTTTTCCTTCAAGTATTACACATGTCATAGCCATAAGTTCTGTCTCCAGACTTGGACTAAGGAGTCACCATGTTTCGGTTGAGACACTGAATGCTTCATTGTGTTAGATGAGAGATGTTTCAACACAATGAACCAAACATTCTGCATCAACATGACAAAGTTCAAGGACTGCTTCCAACAACTGCCTGTCTCCTGGCTGGCATGAGGTAAACAATAAACTCCCGTCTCACTTGTGCTGAAAAGTTTCTTGTAATAATATTTTGTTCATATTATTGGGCTCCTATTACCCAGTAATTGTAACTGACCTACGGCATTGTGGCATCTCTTGTGACGCTGACCCACCTGGAAATGAGATTGTAATTGACATTACAAGGTATAAAGTATGTCTTAATTTCAGTAAGGAATGTACTCATAGTGTGTGTATGCATGTTTGTGTGTGCGTGCATGTGTGTGCAGTCCCCTTTGCAGTTATTTACACTTTCATACCAACTCACATTTGTAACTAATCATAAACTGACTAGATTCACCAATAAATAAAATCTGCACTTTTCTTTTGTACAGTATGTTCTTTTATTATGAGGTCTGTGTACTCACTTGTCTCTGGCAGATGGCGCCTCTGTTCTGAAGGTCATTGGTTGTCTTCCCTGATGTGTTATTGAGAACAGCAAACTGGGCTCTACACCTTCAAAGTACTGGAAATAATAAAACAAGGAATGAAATAATAAAACAAGGAGTGAAACATGTATATATCTATATAACAGAAAGCTCAATCTTATCCTTAAAGGTACAAGAAAGAGAAGAATGAGAATCATCAAAGAACTGAAAATAACTGAACAAGGAGTGGTACCATAATCTAGATCTACTGTTACAGACAGTCACTGTATTTATCTTAATATTGTTAGACACATACTTGTTTGTCAAATTGTAAACACTATATATAATAAAAAAGAAAACTCTAGTCCTTCAAACTACAAACAAAATATAAAAACTGACTGATCAAAATGCAGTTCATTTTTTTAAATTGACAATAAGTTTTGTTTTAAATAGTGCTGCCATTCAAATGGCAAGTAACTTTGATGTGCAGATTGATAAAATATCAAAGAAAGTTAGTATAGGGCTTTTCTGTAACACCTGTCAAAAGCATATTACCTGCAGTTACAAAAATCTTTCAGTGGCTTTATCTGCTTTGTCATATGAACATGCATATTGAGTCAAATGTATATATGATATCTTATTCGTTAATATGAACACTCCTAAATACCTTAGACTGTAACACTTTATATAAATGTATAATGTGGTTAATGTAACTATGTATGAAAGTCTGCATTGCAGCTTATCACTCACTGATGGGAATTTGATTGTAGATTTCTCATGTACCTAATAAACTCATCACAATGTTATGTCTGCAGACAGCATTAAGGTGCATGATGTTAACTGTGCAGAATCGTGTATTACATGACAATGGCATTTTTATGATTGCTATAACTGTGTTGTGTATGTATTAATATTCCTTGTCTACATGAGGTAACCAGGGGCATATAAGAGGAGTATTTAGAGCTGATAAATATCCCATTGGGCAATCCATAAATGGTGGCCACTCCAATTTTCCAAAATAATTTGCATATCCAGCTCTCCCCCTCCCCCAAACTTCACAAAAAAGAGAGATAGACCCTCATAACCATGATATAAAAAATTATTTCAATTTCCACAATTATTCTTTGGCTGTTGGGTTGGCATGGGTAAACATTCCCTCTGAAAACAAACTCATTTTCTTGATATTCTGGATCCACTAGAGAAATTTTACAAATAAAACAGACTACAGATTGTTTGAGTGCTCATTTTGTTGCAGTTACTCAAACAGAAATAGTTATGGTCTAAAATGACATACAAAAGAGGGCACTTAATGAAATGTTTGCATTATAAACTGCAAAGCTGAGTCTCAACAGATTTTTATCAGTTTAAAGGTACATAAATATAAGGTATAAAATTTAAAAAAAAATAAAGATCTTGCTTTCAAATTGTCTTTTTAATAAGTAGACTAAAATTCATTTTATTTTACAGCCTTCTGCTTTAAGAAAAAACGCTTTCTACAGCAATAGCTTCTTATGTCTCTTAACTGAGATAAAAATGTTGCAAAACAATAAAATTCAGACCATGACAATTCACCTTATAACAAAAACATTAAAACATTAAGAAAAACTAAATCTTCAGATAAATGACATTTTAAGTTATTAAATTTAAACAAAGAAAAAAACATTAAAACTTACGTACTAATGAGCCCCCAATTTTTCCAAATGCACCCATATAACCCACGTATCAGACAGGACCTGGTGTGTTTTATGACTGTGCTATGTCTAACAACGATAAATCCAGTTCATAGATCTAGATAGTAAATGACACAAGTAAGGTTCACACCGTACCTCCTAGTGCCTCCCTGTACTTACAGTATGTCAACACAAAAACATAATCCCATAGAAACCCTCATTTTGTTTTTAATCTTAGGCCACATCACACATTGGACTAACAGAATAGCAGATTGAATATGGCCGCCCCATGAATGGTTGTAGAGTAATCCCTGCAGGGAATCTATTCAGTGTCTATAAGGGCGCAATGCAGCAAGCTTGTAAGTGGGTCTCCATATTTAATCTGCCGATCTGTTAATTCGCTGTTGTGAATGTGGCCTTAAGTTCAATATAAAGCACCTGGTCTGATTATGATGTTACCTATATTATATCTGATCTATGTAAGACTGTTGTGAGTGTGCCTTTCTGTTGTGTAATTATATAATCATTGCTCTTACCTCGGTGGCCTTTTCTACATCATAACCCAGGAGTGGGGTGCTCTCTACAGCTGCCATGTCCTGCAACACATACAAAAAACATGCATATATTATATCAGTCAAAAAATTCTCACTCAAAATTTGAGATCTCTCTCCTAGATTTGCCAAAGAGTATCCAATGTTAAAAAACACTTTTTTTAGAATGAGAACCCTTTAATCCCTAATGGCAAGAAAAACTGATACAATCAGTACAAAATTAATACAATAATTATCTATAATTCTCTTTACTTTTTTGTCAATTTTCTAATCTTTGTCTTTAACTCTCCATCTATCTTAGAGAAACAGGTCATTATACAGATTTAAAGGCACTTTTGAAATTTCCCTTGATGCTTAATGTCATCTTGACATCATACAATTATCTTAAACACAGAATCCAAACGTGCTTTCCCAATCATTTTTTTTTTAATTTCTGAGTTCCCAATCAAAATTATATCAAATACTGCCTTTCCAAAAAACCTACCCCTAAGGAAATTTACAGGTTAAAGTCAAATTTAAATTTTATAAATTTCTTTGCAAAAGCAACATTTACTCTCATTCTATTTTGATAAAGAGGGTCTATTTGCATAATTTTCAAAAGTACAAACATTTCACAAACCTCACTGGCTTTATATGTGTACAGCACTTTATCCTTAATGACAAACCATAGCTTCTTCCACTTCTTGGCTTTCCATACCTTGAGGTAGCCACTCATTTCTGAACCCTGGTCATTAGCATGGACCTAAATATAGCAATTTAATTAGGTCAAAGCCAAGAGCCAAGGTTAAACATGAACAAATATTATGGTCAAGACATTATGGTTACAGTTACACTAAGGGACCATTCAGAATAGAAGATCCTAGTATCAACTGGTCCAAGGATCAAATATGGCAGACCCTACATGAAAGGAAGACCACTTAATCCTGTAATGGTGTCTCACACGCTACCAAACATGTCCAGGTGAATGGAGCCCAGATTTAATTACTATGCCCCTGCAGGGACAGTGCGTGGGGGAGGCATGTGAGAGGCGGAGTTGATACTTGGATTTTCTATTCTGAATGGCCCATAAGGCTGCATTCAGAACAGAGAAAACTTCCCCATGGGAAATCTATTCAGAGTATATTAGCGATTAGATGGCAAGCTTTATAGTGGGTCGCGGGTTCTACCCGTGGACTAGTTAATCCACTGTCCTGAATGCAGCACAAGACATGTGGCATATTCATGAAATGAAAGACAGTTGGACCACATGGCTAGACAGGACTTAGTAACTTAAATCCATCTGCCGAAAGTGTAATAGGAATTCAAAGTAGTTCAAGGTAACAAATATTCATTTTTAAGATAGCACAGGTAACTACAGTTTCAGTGCTAACAAATAAAGGTTAAAGTTGCAGTTATCACTGCTAAGCCACTTTTGTATTATCCTCTATTCATGCAGGTTAATTTGCAGGTGTTAAACACTATAAATGCTGGGCAATGCTGGTGAAGAAGACACTGGAAAATGCTAGACAAGTAAGGCAAAACAAAAAATTCAAATAAAACTTTCAAAGGTGCAAAAAATTCAAATAAAACTTTCAAAGGTAGAAATACTCATGAAAAAATATTTCTTTGGAAGGAAGGCAACAGCCAAATGTAAACTGACATGTTTAATATCCTAAAGTTTGTTGCACTAATATATTTTACAATAAAGCTGCCATCTTTATGAATATGTTACACAGTAGTGACATACAAATGTATATCTGGACTTTCTGTACATTCTCTGGCAGTTAAAATATTTTTTGGATGGCCTATTCTATTGTGACCAAGCGAAAAATAAAGAAATAAAGAAAACTAGCAAGGATTCGAAATGGGAGATAAAATATTTCATGCACTATGAATACCTCCTTCAAAACCTTTGGTCTTACGGTCAACGAACTTCGGTTTTTGAAACTTTTCACAAATTTGCTTTTCAGGCTTGACACTGAAAATAAAAAAACATTGCAACAATGTATCACTGTTACTGTGCTATTGTACTGTAATTACCTCCTGCAGTACCGATGGACGACTTTTCCTTGACCCCAACCACTTGCTGTTTCGGACGCTCTTTGAGAAGCGTTCTTTGATGCTGACTTTTGATGGGTGAATTGCCAGTTGGCCATCTTGCTCAGCAGCTCCAGATTGAGGGGGTATATACTTTGACACCTCCCCAAATTCTATGTAGTCAAAACACAGGTAATTTATATAAATAAATGTTAATTACAACTGTACATATATTATGTAGAATGAATTTATATAATTTTTGTAAGGCACTACTATATGTGTATCATATGGAAATATGTTATATAATAATGCAAAACAAAACCAGTTTGTTTGCTTGACATTTTCAAATATATCAAAACAGATATCATATTTTGAGGTTACAGTATTTAATATTGTATGGTCTGAGTATATCACATTTATTTTATAAAGCTGCTACTAGCAGAACTATCCATTTAACCCATTTAAACTGGCTAATGTTAAATTTTACTAGACTAAGTACAGCCATAACCTAGACATTTTAACTGCTGTTCTAAAGCTACAGTGACCACAGTTTAATGATATAACTTCATACCTTTTTCAAGTCTCCCAAAGCAGACATCACAAACTCTGGCAGACTTGTTATCCATGTAGCTTAGTGGAGCTTTGTTATCTGAGCAGTTGGAGCACACAATCTGAAAACAGACCAATTATTTTGAATTTACCAAAAATAAAATGATAAATATATAAAAAAAATGTAAACATCTCCTGTAAAATAACCATTACCTCACTGAAGAATTTTGAATTTCTTTTTTTTTAATAAAAAATCTGCCATTAAAGCTATAATCAAAAATTATCATAACTTGTCAAAATAATTACAAAATGGAAAAGTTTCAAACAGATAAGAATACAAGCAACTGTTCAAATGTAAGAAATATCTGAAGTTGCTGAGGGGATCATTACATCAAAGAAAAAAAATCCACTAAATCAAATGTGGGTGCCTTCTCAGCTACATGCAGTACTGTGGTGCCTCCCAAATGTAAACATGAATTGTGACATACAGGGTGAAAATGCTCACCCTGTAGTCACACCACCTACCTTCCCACAGGCTCTACAGTGATGTCTCCTGAATGTCACAGTAAACTCTGTGGTACACAGAGCGCACATGCTCACCCTGGAGTCTGGGATCCACACGGGTGCTGTAGACCCCAAGATGAAATCTTTGTCATAGGACGTCTGCAAGGCACAATATTAAATATTATATGCATGTATTACTGTAAGAATGATGGTCTTTAAGACCGTCATCATTATATACCCTTTAAGTCACACAATTGAATCAAACGGTTAAAAAAGATAAGAGGCAACATTCTTTTCAAAAGTTATAGAAAATGATTTTTGTGTGCGAAACAAAAATGTTACAGCAGTGGTAAGAATTCCCCCTAGAATCAAATGTCTTAATTGCTGGTCAGTGCCCTACCTCTTTTAATAGCATTTGGACATCAAAACTTTTCTTCTTAGACATCACATCAGAGATGGCTGTCTGCAGTGCCTTCAGCCACTCATCTCTTTCATCAGATGTGCTAATGTAAATATCAAGACAATATTTCATGATCAAAAGCAATAAACACCTTAAACAATGCATGCCACTTGTTTAAACTGACTGATTCAATAAACGTAAGTGTGAACTTGAACCCATTATAGTAGTGGTAGTAGTAGTTACTGTAGTATATTTATTCAGATTCTTAAATCATACATCATACATTGGCCCAAGGAGAAAATTTTAAAAAGAATGGATGCAAAATTCATTTTAAAAAAAGAAATACAATTATGATTTTAAATCACATCAATTAAATATAAATATCTAGTATCCAGACTTGTTACTCATTGAGGCACCAACTCATTTGGACTAGTTTTACCTTTTTAAATATTATATCAAATTCTTGTAAATATCATTTATGTGTCCTATCTTGTATAAAAGCACCACCTACCTGGCAGACACAGTGACAGACCTATGAACTGAAATGATGCTGAACTCATTTTGGAAGTCATCTTGGGCTGGCTGAGACACCTAGGAAGCAAGGAAACATAAGAGTTGGGTATATTCTTATGGCAATTAATCTATTGGTGTAGAGTTTATCTCAGTAAATCAAATATGAGACACATGCTTTAACATAGATGTACCATTTTTTGCACTGATTTTGCCTCTAAACAGAGTTCCACTGAATAGCAGCCTAAGGCAAACATGCTTCTGTAGCTCTATAGAACATAAAACTGAACTTTTTATTCCTCTGCCTTTCCCAACAATAAGGTGATAAATGAGAGCATGCACAGAATTTATGAAGGCTTTCCAACTGAACTTAACACACCCGTCTACAAATTCCAGTGTGTACTAGTAGAAAGGCCAAGTATCAAGAAAAATTACTGGTGAACTTCTACAGCTCATTTCTCTTTAAAATTTTCTTTGTTCTGTTAATCACTAAGACTAGTGACAATGTTGCCAGCTGTTGACTGAACAGCAAGTGAAGTTATTTACAAAAGGCCAAGCAGTGTTTATTTATTACAGTTACTGACAAATCTTCAAAAGAACACAAAATTGAGTTGTGATAATGATCTAGTTAATCATTACCTTCATCCCTGTGAGTGGTAAGACATGGTTAAGTCTAAAACTCCCAGTAGAAGTAGGGGTGGTATACAGAAGCACGTCATTGAACAGAAAGAACATCCTGGGCTGCAACACTTTCCGTGAAAGTTTTTCCAGGGTTCCTTGTTTTAGTAGCACCCGACCTGGTTTGATGACCTCAAATCCACCAACCAGGTTGCTTTGAACTTCCAGCATTTTTTGGAACTGGTCCTGGAATTAAATGATGGCTAAAAAATAGTAAGTGTGTCCTTCTGAAGTCAAATTATCATATTTGAATAAATTCCATAACTGCCCTATATCCCAATATTCAAGCTATCTTTAATGTAAGTTATAATTTCAAGCCAACAACTTAGAAGCATCAATAAGGGTAATAATTATTATCTTCAGTTTAGTTCAGCTCATT